TCACAAAATGCTTCATGGCTCTAATTTCAACAACTGTCATCTTAAACAGCAGGTTAGAATAGAAGGACTTTATTCTGACTTTATTCTCGTAAATTAATGATATGGCTATGACTTAATTATTGTAAATTAAAGATATTATTATGACTTTATTCTTGTAAATTAATCTCAAAGTCTTAATTTTTTTTTCTTAATGAGGCCCTAATACTCCGTTGTACACTACAGACTGACAAATAATAAAAATATCCTCTTGTGGTAATCAGTTTCCAAAAACATCTAATGTATCAAACAGGATAAATTAACATATTTTTTCAATTTTAAGGACATTTTGATTTTTTTTTGGTTTTCAGTAGTAAGTGAAATAAATATGTCAGCTCAAAAAAAATTTGAATTTTCTGACCATAATTTGTGGTTTCAGGCATTAAAGGGATAAAACTCTGCAGCACTTCAGTGAATGTTCAGAGTTACAGTTAGACTCAAACAGAGGACCCTGTGTGTGTGTGTGTGTATGTGTGTGTGCGTGTGTGTGTGTGAGAGACGCTGATGTTGCCTCAGATCAGCTGTTCTCCTCAGATAGATGATTAATCGCCTGTTAGCTTTGAAGAAGAGTTTCATTCATCGCTCGTTAGCTTCTCTGCGCTCTGAGTGCGTCGTAGAAGATCTTTGATGTAAAAGACTACAACTCCCAGAGGGAGCATGTGAGTCATGAGTCAGTGTTTGTAATGAATGATGTGTGAGAGAAAAGAGCTGCGAGCCTCGAGGCGACGCTGCCGCCGCCGCCGCAGCTGTCTGAAGCTGACAGGTCTGTCCTCTGAGACGCATTAGTGAGTTCGCTGTTGGTGGTTCGCTGCTTTTGTAATTCTTTGTGGTCAAACACGGACACTCTCTGTTCAAATTCATCTTTTCATCCTGGCGGCGGTGATGGCGAAGTCGGTTAACGAACATTAACTCACGATACGTTATTGTACAGTATCATTAAATCTATATCAATCAGAACTGATACCCGGCCACCCCGATCCACGTCAGGGCCACCCCAGTCCACAGGTCTGGACATGCCCCTGCAGAAAGAGTTTTGCTTTAGGTGCTGAACTTTGTGCCCCCTACGGTCTGGACCGAGAGGGGAACCTTAAGCTCATGATCGGGTGAGCAGAGCGGGGATCTTGTCTCAGCCCTAAATCCATGAGTGTGGTCTTCAGCGCTCTGAAATCCTCCTGTCTGAGTTTGAGATGATGAGTGGACCACCTGTACTCGAACACAGGGGTCAGGGGTCAGAGGTCAGGGGTCAGAACAGCCTGACAGGAGAGGGAGAACTGACCCTGAGAGTCTGCAGCTGTGAAAATGAGGAGGAGAGAGGAGGTGAGGAGAAGAGAGAGGAAAATAGAGGAGGAGGAGGAGGAGGAGGAAAGAGAGAAGGAAAGAGAGGAGGAGGAGGAAGAGGAGAGAGAGAAGGAGGAGGAGGAGGAGAAAAAAGAGGAGGAGGAGGAGGAGAGAGAGGAGAAGAGAGAGAAGAGGGGAAGATAGGAGGAGAGAGGAAGAGGAGGAGAGAATGAGAGGAGGAGGATGAGGAGGTGCAGCTCTGCTCGGTTGCCTCACCTTCGTTACGCTGAGCGTCTCTGGCAGCGGCTGTCAGACTGAATCAGAGTCTGACACACACAGCGAGCAGCTGCTGATGACATCATGACCACACAGAGTCTCTGATGATGTCATCAGCAGACGGGTCAGCTGGTGGTCAGGTAGACCAGCTGATGTTTTCGTAGACTATACTAATAGCCAATGAAAAGGGGTGTGCTTCTGCTTCCCTTCCAGCACTGGTTAATTTGTGCTGAAATTATCTGGCATGCTCCAGTGTCCAGAAAAAATAGAATGCTTTCTATCAGCTGTGGAGTCCGATGATCCGCAGATGAACGGAAAGAAGCCGGTGGAAATTAAAACGTTAACTCAAATGGTTATGATCAGCTACGATCGGCGGATATGACCTTTTCGCACTCCACAACCTGGCCCCCCCCACCTACAACCCGGACCCCCTGCTTCGCCAGTGCCAACCTCCTCACAGTTCCCCTGACCAAGCACCGGATTTTACTGATATTGATGTATATTGATCTGTATTATTGTATATTGATGTGTGTTTTATTGTTCTTGCTTTTACTCATGTACAGCGTCTTTGCGTTCTTGAAAAGCGCTTCACAAATAAAATATATTATTATTATTATTATGTTCAGGATGAGGTGGAAATTGGGGGTAAATATTACTAAATCCTGCAATTCCTCCACACTGTACCTTTAAAGCAGAGATAAACGGAAATAAAACATAATATTATCTCAGACTTCTATGATCAGGGTCTCTTTTTTCGGAGCAGAAATTTTAAATATATTTTCTGTTCTGTGAGGATTTGAGTCTTTCTGTCATCCAGTTGATAAGAAGTCTTAAAGAAGTCATTAAGAGTGAACAGACTGAGCACTAAAGGCTTCAGCAGAAAGATAAAAAAAAACAGATCAGGAGAATAATCCTCATTTTAAGCTCTGCCTCAGGTTTACAGTAGATGGATGATATTTTCTCGCTGTTTTCTGGCAGACTGTTGGACATGAGCTGAGTCAGACTGCAGAGACTGAAGCTGCTGACAGAACACATTCAAACACAAACTCAGAGTTTAAAGGGAGCTGTGATCGTACTGAGCTGACTCCAGATCAGATCTGATCCTCTCATTCAGATCCTGATTTTCACCTCGCTCTGACCCCACATCTGATTCCTCTGTTCATATCCCTCTTCTTCGCTCTACCCTCTCTTCCTCTTTCTTCTCTTCATCCCTTTCCTCCATGTTTTCAACACCCTTCACCAGAGTCACACACTTTCCCCTGAAAACAAACACAAGAGTAAAAAGGAGGTTCATATTATTGGACTCATTATGTGCCCAGCTGTTCAGAGATGACATCACTCAGTCAACATCTGACTCCTCCCCTGAGGAACTAACCTGTCTCATCAAAATGACTCAGAAACAGTTTCAAGTTAACAAATTTCCACTGACTTCAAACTTCCTTCACCGGAGTAAGCTCCTGAAGAGTCCTGATTAAAATAAGTTTTTTTATATATTTGGATTTATGACTGTTTTACCCCTGATTTCCACCGCAACGTCTTCAAAAAGGTCGTATCCGCCGATCGTAGCTGATCGTAACCATTCAAGTAAAATATGTCAATATCCAACGGCTTCTTTCCATTCCTCTGCGGAACGCCGGACTCCACAGCTGATCGCAAGAGTTCTATTTTTTCCAAATGCGGAATAAATTCAGCACAGATTAACCCGTGCTGGAAAGGAAGTCTGGCACAGACACAAAATAAAACACCCGGCTTCTTTTCAAAATAAAACGCTCAGTGTTTTAGGAGGATCGTATTTCACACCATGCAAATGGGTGGAGACGAACAAGTGAAAGGTTTTTAGACGTCATTTCACCCCGATGACACCATGGATGAGGAGATGCTGATTCTAGAAGTCTAGAGGTAGATTTCCTCCTCTGGAAGGACACAATCTACTGATGTGTCTGTCTTTATAGAGACAACTCGTTATCGTGAGATTGCATGTGAATCTGCGGGTTCTTTTAAGTTCTCGCAATTCCTGGTGTCCGTAATCTGCCATGAATTTGCCTCACAAACTGATCCATTAGGAATTGGCATACGGCAAAAATCGCAGCTGTTCAGAATCGGAGCCATTCCGGATGCTGAACATGGACTGTGTGGTCTGTCTGGACCACCACTGTGCTCAGGTTCTGCTGCCTAACAGCTCTGGGGTTGGATTGTTTAGTTGACTTACATGCAGACTTCCCCAGAAATGACCACACTCACATGTAAACATAACAGTGTTTGGGTTTCCTGCTTTAAGGGGATATTACAGCGTTACATTGATTTAGAGTCAAACACACCGTAACACTAAGTTAGGCGCCCCCTCCAGAGATGAATGTTGCTGACCGCTTGCTTCTCAAGTTATACAAACTTTAGCATGTTAGTCACTGGAACAGCCTGAGGGCTCAGTGAGCCAATCAGAGTACAGGTCTGAGCTGAGCTGTGACAGGGAGGTCAGTCTGGGTCTGAGATGTTCTGTAAGACCGCCAAACCAAAAAAAAGGAAGATCTGGATTAGGTAACAGCCAAATGGGGTCGGATATGTTGGTGTTTATATTTCACCGTTCCATAAAATAAACCTGAAAATGAGACACAGCAACAAAGACTGGCTCTGCTCCATGTTAGTATTCAGACCTGCTCCTTAATCAGCACCTCAGTCCGTCTGTTGAAATCCTTTGACCTGAACTTTTGAGGAGGATCACTCAGCCTTGCCTGACAGTGTCAAAGTACGTATTTCTGTTTTGGACTGGTCTTGTGTTGGATGATTTTTTTTTTTTGACCCACTGCCGTCTCTGCATGTCTCATATGAGAAAAATCAGGCTAACCTGCTCATTTGAACCCTAGGTGTGATCACAGGTGTGATCATTTTCCTTCATCACAGCTGAATGTTACATCCTCTATTCAGGTAAGCCATGTTACAGCTGTGAAGAGAGCACACTCTCAGGTCTTAGCTCTCAGGTCTGAGCTTTCTGATCTTAGCTCTCAGGTCTTTGATCTCAAGTCTCAGCCTTCTGATCTCAGCTCTCAGGTCTCTGATCTCTGGTCTCAGCTCTAAAGCCGCATTCAGACCAAACGCGACCTCGGCGACTTGAGCAACGACTCCCGATGAAAAGTCTATGTACAGCAGCGATCTGACGCAACCTGGCGACTTGCCATCCAAGGCGACGCGACATGAGCGACCTACACGACCTACGCGACCTATGCGACCAGGTCGTGCATGGTCGCCGAGGTCGCGTCGCCCAAGATCGCAGGACACCAAGTCGCGTCACTCCCAAAATTCAAATATTTGAACTTTGGGAGCGACTTCCCGCGACTCAATGCCACGACAGCCAATCAGGGCTCTGCTGACGCCAACAAACCGGTGAAGCAAGGAGAAGAAGAAGAAGAATCACAATGGAGGAGCAGCTTATCACTGCCGTGAGAGCGAGCATGAGCGACAGAGCGAGCATGAGCGACAGAGCGAGCATGAGCGACAGAGCGAGCGAGTCCCTGCTCCTGGAAAAGACCGAAGCGCTTCACGAGGCAAACAAAACAATCACCAAACTCAAACTCCATATTCAAAAACTCTCCGATGAGCTCAAGACAAAATCCACTCTCCTCACAACCTGCATTGATGTGGCCCACCAGCAATCCCTCCACCTATTCTCCCTCCAAACAACCCTCCAGGACAAGCTACCCTGGGAGCCTCAAAGCCCGTCCACCACGTCCCAACCGCCATCCACCGCCACACCCAACCTGGACTCAACATGGACTGAAATAACCACACGTGGCAGGAAAATCCCCAACACCACCCCCTGGAACCCGACCGGGCCTACCTCAAGCTCCACTCCAAGCCGCTTCGAGGCTCCTGAGAATCCTCCTGAGCCTGCAAACACCAGCATCGACCAGTCCCTTCTCGGCGGTGACGTGGTGGCGTCCTCTACAGCGGCTGCCGGAGCTCCCAGGGCTCCTACACGGCCACCCGGCGGAGCCCCCGGGCCTTCGTCCACGTCCTCTGGTGCCCTCGCTGCGTGCCGGCTCGAGGACCGGGTTGCCTCCGCTCTTCTGGCGACCAGCTCCCGGGAGTCACCGGTCGCTGGCGCTAAGAACACCTCCCTGCCGGCGTACAGTGGGATTCCCGTGTGGCCTGGCACTGGCGGAGGGGACCCTTCTCCGTCGGTCCCTGGTCACGTGCGGTGTCCCGGAACCCGCCTTGACCACAGCTCGGAGAGCCGGCCCGCGTCCTCGGCCGCCCGCAGGAGGTTTCTCCGGGAGGCAGTCCGACGGAACTCCGCCGGGCCCGCTTCAGCTGCCCCGCAGCCGCTGGCATCCACCGTATCGCTGAGTCCCCGTACCCCGGCCACCAGCCCTGCTTCGGACACAGGAGCCATGCACCCCCCGCCGCTGTTTCCCCCCACCACCTTGATCATCGGTGACAGCATCATACGAGGTATTCGTTATTTTAACGCCATCACTCGCTCTTTCCCCGGTGCAACTGTCGCCGACATCACAGCAAAACTCCCCGGTCTTCTCCAATCACTTCCTGCCTCTATCCACCGCATTATTGTCCACGTTGGCTCCAATGACACGGCTCACCAACAGTCTGAACAGACTAAAAAAGACTTCAGGACACTTCTCGATAGCCTTAGGTGCAGCGGCAAAACTGTTTTTATAAGTGGCCCTCTTCCAACACTGACACGTAGCATCGATCGTTTCAGCCGCCTCCTCAGCCTAAACTCCTGGCTTCGAGCCCTCTGCAGCACCCTCTCCACCCACTTCATAGACAATTTTAACCTGTTCTGGAACCGACCCCCATTCTTTTCTAATGACGGACTTCACCCAAACAAACTGGGCCATCAGACACTAGCCGCTAATATCCAACACCACATACACACCAACTGACTATCATTGTTTACATACTCCCTGTCATCCTCTCCCACTACCCCACCTGGAAACAGCGCCCCCCAGAGGCCCCCCTCCGGAACCCTCGCCCTCACCACCCTCACCACCGGCTCCCCCAACAGGCCCCAGCTGGTACTGCACACCAACCCCATCGCCCCCACCACATCAAGCTCCCCCTCCTGGTCCAAACAGCCACTACACCCTTCAACCATAGACTCTCCATGCAAACAATTACAAACAATTAAAACAATTACAACTACTGGACCCTCCCGTTCAAATCCCATGCATCCAAAAAGAAGGACAAGAAATCTAACAAACCTCCGCTGCCTTCCCCCTGCCTCACTGCCCACCCCACAGCCCCCTCCCCTGAAGATGGCCCTTCAAAACACCCGCTCCCTCAATAACAAAGGACACATCCTAGCTGACTTCATAACAGACAATAACCTGGACTTCCTCTATCTAACCGAAACCTGGCACAACCATCTCGACCTCTTTCCACTCAACCAAGCCACCCCCCCCGGTTACTCCTACCTGCACCAACCCCGCCTCACTGGACGAGGCGGAGGCGTCGCAGTTATTCACAAACAAACCCTCAAGACCACCCCCACCCCCACCCTGTCCGTCCACTCATTCGAAAATATCTCTGTCAAACTCCCCGGTCCCACCCCTCTGGTCATTGTTACTATCTACCGCCCCCCAAAGCCCCACCCATCATTCCTTTCTGATTTCTTTGAATTTGTCACCCACCTAAACACCATTTCATCCTCTGTCCTGCTGCTTGGAGACTTCAACTTTCACATTGACAACCCCACCTGCAAACAAGCATCTGATTTCCTGGATCTGCTCGACACCCTCAATCTCACCCAGCATGTGCACTCCCCCACCCACTCCCATGGCCACACCCTCGACCTCGTCTGCTCCACCGGCATCTCCATCCACCATCTCTCCACCACCAACCTCTATATCTCTGATCACCTGGCTGTCACTTTCAACGTCGACCCCCCCCCTCTGCCTCACAGTGAAAAACGACAAATTACCTTCAGAAACCTCAAATCCATCTCACCACAGGACCTCTCCGCTTCCCTATCTGCCACCCTTACTGCATCCCCTCCCACACCATCTGCTAAATTCCTGACCTACTCAACTACTACAACAACACTCTATCCTCCTGCCTGGACCAGCTCGCACCTCTCAAAACAAAAACAGTTTCATTCAGACACTCTGCCCCCTGGTATACTTCAGAACTACACAAAATGAAATCCCATAAACGCCAACTGGAACGTCTATACCGCAAAACCGGCCTCACTGTCCATCTCCAAGCCTACACCGACCACCTCCACCTATACAGAACAGCCCTCAAATCCGCCCGCTCATCCTATTACTCCAACCTCATCAACTCCGGCTCCAGTAACCAAAAGGCTCTTTTCTCCACCGTCAAAAAACTGCTCCACCCCATAGACAGTACCTCCATCACCTTCACCCCGGAAAAATGCAACACATTCCTCTCCTCTTCAAACCAAAATCAACGCAATCTATAACTCCCTTCCCCCACCCTCCATTCCCTGCTCCTCCCCTCCTCCCCTCATCCCATCAGCACTCTCCTGCTTCTCACCTGTCTCCTCAACCGACGTGACTAACATCATCTGCTCCATGTCTTCATCCACCTGTATCCTGGATCCCATCCCATCCTCCCTCATCAAGCACTGCCTCCCTGTCATCTCCCCCATCATAACACAGATCATCAACTCCTCCCTCAACTCCGCCACTGTTCCCCCGTTACTCAAACTGGCTGCTGTCACCCCCATCCTCAAAAAACCTGGACTCAACCCCGATGACATCAGTAACTTCCGGCCCATCTCCAACCTCCCTTTCCTGTCAAAAATCCTCGAACGTGTCATCGCATCACAAATCAAAACCCACCTCAACAATAACAACCTATACGAACAGTTTCAATCAGGATTCCGCACCCACCACAGCACCGAAACTGCCCTCATAAAAGTGACAAATGACCTCCTCATCTCTGCTGATTCTGGCCAACTCTCCATCCTCATCCTCCTCGACCTCTCCGCTGCTTTCGACACCATCAACCATGCCATCCTTCTGTCCCGTCTACACTCCCTCCTCAATATCACAGACACCGCTCTTAACTGGATCCATTCTTACCTCACAGACCGGAATCACTTCATCCATATTAACAACTGCTCCTCCACAACCGTCCCTGTGTCCCAAGGTGTCCACCGGGGCTCGGTGCTTGGTCCCCTCCTCTTCATCATCTACCTCCTCCCTCTTGGCCACATCCTCCGTCAACACAACCTCCACTTCCACTGCTATGCTGATGACATTCAATTATATATCTCTTCCAACTCCATCACCCCCCAGACCCAACGCTCCCTCTCAAACTGCCTCTCTGACATCAAACACTGGATGGACAGCAATCTTCTCAAGCTCAATTATGACAAAACAGATCTCATCATCATCGGCCCAAACTCCCTCACCTCCACAGTCACAAACTTTCATCTCTCCATCGACAACTCCATCCTCTCCCCCTCCTCCCACTGTCGCAACCTTGGCATTTTCTTCGACAGCAACCTCTCCTTCACCCACCACATAAAGCAAATCACTAAAACAGCCTACTTCCACCTCAAAAACATCGCCCGCCTCCGCCCCTCCCTCTCCTACCCTGCAGCTGAAACCCTTATACATGCATTCATTTCATCTCGCCTAGATTACTGTAACAGTCTCTTTTATGGCACCACCTCCACTCTCCTCAACAAACTTCAGCTTATCCAGAACTCAGCCGCCCGCCTCCTCACCCACACACGCTCCCATCAACACATCACCCCCGTCCTCCAAAACCTTCACTGGCTCCCCATACCCCATCGCATTCAATACAAAATCCTCCTCCTCACCCACAAAGCACTCCACAACCTCGCCCCCCCCTACCTACAGGATCTTCTCCACCCCTACATCCCCTCCCGCACCCTCCGCTCCGCCAATGCCAACCTCCTCACAGTTCCCCTGACTAAGCACCGAACCTGGGGGGACAGAGCCTTCTCAGTCGCCGCCCCCACCCTCTGGAACTCACTCCCACTCGAACTCAGAAACTGCACCGACCTCACCAGATTCAAGACCCTTCTCAAAACCCACCTCTTCCGCACTGCCTTTCATCCTTCCTAGCCCCCCCCCATTGGATTTTACCTGATTCTACATGTTTTTATTGACATTGTCGTAAATTTTTATTACTTATTGATGCGTGTTTTATTGTTATTTGGATTTTACCCGATTCTACATGTTTTTATTATACTGCCGTAAATTTTATTACTTATTGATGTGTGTTTTTATTGCTTAACTCTGTACAGCGTCTTTGTGTCTTTTGAAAAGCGCTCTACAAATAAAATGTATTATTATTATTATTATTATCACCCGGTCTTGTAAGACATGGGGTGCGCGCTCTAGCGGGTCCGCACCTCCAAGGAGGAGGCATGGGCGAAGGTGGCCCATGATGCCGGGCTTTTTGGTAAGTTTGTTTATTTATTTCAGTGACCTGACTATTTTCTGAAAACACAGCAAACTTCCCCTGCTTGCTAGGCTACATGTTTCGCTGTGTGTGTGTGTCTTTGCAGTGGATGTGTGCCGCGAGCACTGCAAGGGGCTGTGGGATGTATATATGAGGGAAAAAAAGGAGGGAGAAGGAAGGTGGGAGAAGCGGTTAATCAGAAGCTGATTAAGCATTTCCACTTATTGTTCTTCCCGTCGGCCATTTTGTTTATTATTATTATTATTATCATTGAGTGGGATTGCGAAGCATTCCCAATATATGTTATTCATATCTTTCTTGTGTGGGATTGCAAAGCATTCCCACTACATGTTATTCATATCTTTATTATTGAGTGGGATTGCAAAGCATTCCCACTATATGTTGTTCATATCTTTATTATTATTATTTAGTGGAAATGCTGATTAAGCATTTCCTGTCGGCCATTTTCTTTATTATTATTCTTCCGTCCCTTTTTTGCCGCGCTTCTCCTCCTTCAAACTTTGTGTGATTTTCCACTCCACTCCTTCAGGACATTATTGCATCTATTTTTTTTCCTTTCTACCCCTTATACTTGTTTTTTTTTAACTTTTTGTGCAAAAAATTTGAACACTGAAGTCAATGGGGAAATCTTCCAGTTCTTCCTTTTATTCTTCTACCTTCAAAGCCTTATAACTTCAGCATACTTTGACCTAGAGGCCTCACTTTAAAATGTTCATTGTCTTGTCGACTATTAAAGTTGTACTCAGTTTTTTAATATCTTTTACAGTTTTCCCACAATTTAGCTTTAAGCACCTCGTGGTTTTCAGCAAATTTCAGGCTTTATAATGGGTGTGTATTGGAGAGGCTAGAGTTATGATGTCATCGCTAGAGTGGACAGCTCCTCTTTTTTCGACAGAACCTCGCTCACATATATTGCTCCCACGCCCACAAATTTCCCTCCACAGCCATAAAAAATACATCAAAATGGAGGTATATGTGTCCTGCTTCTCACAAAAGAGGTTTCAAATCATTAAATCCTACCCCTTGGCCAGCAGGTGACCAACTGTCCAAATAGGCGGAAATCTCTCCCATTAACCCTAATGTAATTTTTCTCCAAGAAAATCCTCATCACCCCTCAGACTCAGACTTTTTTAACTCGCTGTTGTGGCCACATTTTTTGGAGTACAGACATGAAAAACACATCATTGTGTTCGTGAAGGGCAGAGGATTCGTATGATGTTCTTATCTTCATTCTGGGATTTAAGGAAATCGTGCTATGTGAAGAAGTTCTGAGGCCCTAAATTCACTGCAGTCATGCAGATTCTCATTCAAACAGTAGGTCAGTTAATGCCTTTGATCTCACAGCTGTTTAGGATGCAATCATTAACGAGATACACAAACAGTCTGACAATGTGTGTGCGTGTGTGTCTCTGTCTAAAAGACCTGCATGTACACACAGTTAATATATGCCTGCATCACCACCTATCTCCGCCCACAAACTTTGAGCTACAGAAACCATTCTGGGCTTCAAAAATTCAGCTCATTGAAGACATTATGGGGTGTATTTAGGATTTTGTTAATTAATTGTATCAATATGTTCAGCAGAGGGTTGGGGTTCTCACAAGTTTCTTGTCATGAATGTAGCCATTACAGAGAATGAGCTTCAGGGCATAGTTTTGGATTTTTTTTTCTCAGCTTCAAGCCTTCTTTCTCCTGCTGTAGTTATGCATCTACCGTTCCCATGGCAACCAATTAGTGCACCTGGAGACACACAGCTGACTGGAAAGCTGCTTCTAACTAGCCTGGCTGGGCCATCTAGTTGCGTGAATCACTTGTCGTTCCTTCCCACGACAGTCTGGATTATGGCCAATTGGGAGCGTGTATTACAAATCAATTGGCCGAAGTCCAGACTGTTGTGGGAAGGAACGGCAAGTGATTCACGCAACTGGATGGCCCAGCCAGGCTAGCTTCTAACGGCCATATGAGACACATGAAGCCAGGCTCAGTACACAGAGCACTGGGGGTTACATTTAAAACCCTTTACCAGAGCACTTGACAAATTTTGGCCCCTATCTCCTACCACAAACTTTGAGCTACAGAAACCATTCAGGGCTCCAAAAATTCAGCTCATTGAGGATATTATGGGGTGTACTCAGGATTTTTATTCATTTAACTTTTCCCCACTTTAAAATTACTCTCATTATTAATGCTTTATTAAATTCTTCAGACAAATCCAAACTCATTCAAACTGATTCAAACCTTTCTGATACTTCAAACCTGTTTAACACTTTGGGACTTCTAATTATTTAAAAATGTTCCCGTTTCAAAATCATTCTCATTATTTATGTATGTTTTAATTCTTAAAACAAAATCCCAGTTCTACCACTACAATTACTACTTATATCACTTTAACTTGTATCTTCACTTCTACCTCCACTGCTCTTGCTTCTCTTAATATTTTTTTTACTTCTACTCTTACTTCTACCACGAGCTCTACTGCTTTGACTTCTACTTCTTCTATTCTAAAACTACTTCTACTGCTTACATGACTACTAATATCACTACTACAACTACCTATTATCATACTACTTCTAGTACTACAACTTAAACTTATGCCACTTCTCACTTTTCTGTGTTTTAAGGTAATTTTCTTCCTTATCCAATTTTTTTTGCAATTTCAGACAGTTTTTCTAGCTTTATTCAGCATGAATGCAGTTTTAATTTATGAAGCACATTCATA